GACCCCAAATGCTGTAACATGTTAATAGCAGGATGTTTTACAGATTATCCATGCTACAAAAGAACTGTATTACAAAGTTATCTTAACGTAATAAATTATTCTATGTGTTTAAACACGTATTCTGATGAGTGGGTGAATGCGGGGGAGGAAGGAGAGAGGGAGGACAGGGTGGGTAAGGAGGGAGAGGGGCTAGGGAGGGAGGAAGAGGGGGTTGAAAGGGAGAATGGGGCAGGGGAGAATAGGACGGTAGGTAGTGAGAGGGAGGGTAAGAGGGAGGGGTGACAGGGAGGGCGGGGGAGTAGGGTAGGGTAGTGAGGGAGAGGGAGGGGTTTCATGGTGGCTAGGGAGAGTTGGGGAGGGGAGGTCTACGGAGGGAGTGGATAGGGATAGAGGGATTGGGAGATGGGTATGGGGTAGGGATAGAGGGAGGGAAGTGGGTAGGGAGGGAAGGGGGATGTTAAGGAGGGATAGAGAGGGGATTTGGAAAGGAAAGAGGGAGGGAGAGGGAGGACGGGCGGGAAAGGATAGGTAGAGAGAGGGAGACTGGGGCAGGGAGAAAGAGGGTGGCTAGGGAGGGAGAGTGGCAGAGGGAATGAGGCTATGGAGGGAGGGTAGGGAGAGAGAGGGAGGCTACTGACCTGCTCAAGCTGAATTTCAGAGTTGAGAGACACATTACATGTGTCACAGAAGTATTTGTTGGTCTTAGCCCCAGTTGCATCTGGCAGCTTCTGCACACCTGGGGGAACCTCTCCTGCAGCTGCAGGGCCTGAGACCACCTCCATTGCTGAAGTCCCAGCATCCAAACCTACCGGCACCACTGATCATCAATACTATCTATGTATCACATCAGCCGCCTACCAAGGGTCGCATCACTGATGGGATAATAAATCAGATTGATTTATCGAACAAGCCGAGACCAGGGGCGCACACAAAAAGAAAAAAAGACACAACACAAAATAAATCCATACACTCAAATTGCCACCACACATTAACATTATTAATACCACCAAAACTGCAACTATAAACTGCCAAGCTATTATCTCTCCAGACTAGCACATAAAAATATTTACACAATTTCAACTACATTGTCATATTGTGGGATTAATGATAATGTATGTATTCCAGTTGAAAAGTATAACACCTACAGTGTGTGTGTGTACAATTAAAATGCAAAGCATTCAATTAACAGGGTTCTGCTAGTTTGAAATGAAGAAGGGTTGCTGCACACTTCCAGCTTAATTAATTTGCTGCTTTCACACTCTTTAACTTCCTTTAAATTTCATATATAGGAAACCAACCTACAATTTAATTATGTACATATTCTACCCTTCCCTCATGTTGCACAAATTTTAAAAAAATAGCCACAGCATGTCCCCCATGCTTGTATGTTTCTTTGTTCCTTAGCACTACAGCAACTTACACTTAAACTGAAGATCTTCTCCATTAGTTCAAAAGGACAAAGCAAAACCAAACAATCAAACATTAAACACAATTCAACAACTATTACACAGCAACTATGTGCCTGGCCAACATGATGGTTGTTTTGGGTGCAATGCTTTCCAAGAACACCAATCTTAGAATCACGGGAAACAAAACTGTACTTAACTGACTATATGATGATACTGTGTAATAAAACACTAAAAGGATTATTTTCCCTCTGTAGTTTGTCTTTCGTATCTGTGTGACAAATTAAAAACTTGTAATACGAAGAAACACTAGTTAACAATTGTTTTGAAGATCAGTAGCAAATAGACTGTGACTGACAAATTGGTCTATGAGAATCATGACACTTCCTTTCTGACATTCCCCTTATTGTTTTGCACTACAAATTCCAAACATTTGATAATTTCTAACTAGAAACTTTTACTTTTTGATGTACCTACTTTCAATAACAATGACATACATTAATTACTGCACTTAACTACAGGCTATTATACATTTTGTTACTTTTATGAAAGATTTTTTTCATTAGCATAAGCCATGTTATGATATGACTACCAAGTAAAATGTACGTGATTATTTAACAAAATATTTTTTAGCTTAAACTCAACCATAACTTTTGGAGTTGTCATAGATTTTAGGTCATCTTATATTCAGTTAAATAGTGAAATGACCTTGGGACAAAGAAAATCTGTACTTGAAATATACCAGTATATAGCCATTAAACAACATGGCTTAAGAAAAACAAAGTATTTTAGTGCACACCTTCTAACAGTTGATAATGTTCCCAAGAAGTGGTGGAAAGCTTCAATGAGTGAAAATTGAAAAGTAATGATAAATATGCATCACAGAATGCATATGCCACAAAGCATGGTTGAAAGGCATGAAAAATTGGATTATACAAAAAATAGGCACAAGGAAGTTGTCATTTAAGACTTTTTTTTAAAAAACCTTACAATTTCCATCTGCAGACCTATGTCAACTGGAGGCATGAAAATGTTTTCCTTTTACTATGCATGTCTTTCAGTACCATCAAGCCCACTCATATGACCCAGTACAAAGCAGAGCAAAAGACTGTGGCACATCTTGCTTCCTTGTGCCTACAACTTAAAGATAAGGATGGTAACATTTTAATTATAAGTGTTGCATGCTACCCGACACTAATTTTGGCACCCTTTCTGGCGACATTAAGAAATTCTGAATTAACAATGACAGTGAAAACAGTATTGGGCCTTCCGTTGTTGTACCAGGATATTTCTTGTGACATTTCCTGTTCTCATAGCAGTGAGTAAGAAGATGGCTATCTAGAAGACAGGCATCTTCAGAAATTTCTTGACCACACAAATTAAAAATCAACTACAGAAGGAAGATCCTATAAAATGCAGTTAGCAATCAAAACCATCTGAACACAAATATATGACCTAACAAATCCTTTGGCTGCTGAACATGTTTTCAGCCCTCTGAGATTAAAATAAACACTCCAAAACATGAAATACAGAATGGAGACTAAATTACATGAAGAACACATTCTTAGCGATGGCTTAGCCAGTCCACAGGAAACATTCATGCATATCAGCAAGCTTTGTTACCTTTCCTGATCCCACTCAAAGCTTACTAGCTACAAAAATGAATGCAAAATCAGATAAAATGTTCACAATCTCAAAATCCATGTTAGAGACCTGCAGTACTGTGTTACTGGCTTTCATGTTTGAGACTACTGGTGTAAAGGAATTGATCAATATATGAATATGTTTAAAAATGTATTCAGTTCATAAAAATTAGATTGTCTATCCATAATATTTTATAATTACGTTATTTTTCTCTTGATAGTTCTACATGTGTTGTATTTTCATTGACCTACATTAAAATTAGTAAAAATAAAGTTAAATTTCTTTAGTTCTTCAGCACAGTTTTTCAAACATTTTAATAATTGGATTCAACAGTTTTAAAGTTTCAAATAAATATTATTATCCTAAATAAAAAAATTAAGATACTGTTGTTAAGCATTTCTACCTTAATCAATTCACTCAGTAAACAGGCTATTTATTATCTTTTAACTCAGAAGTCATATCTGGTCTGCAGTAACTAACCAAAGGCATCTGCAATGTGCCAACCATTATAACACAGTAATATGCACTCAACCCTGAAAGCCAACATCAGCATTGTTTACTACTGGGGACCAATCACAGTAATGGCATAATGTGCAAGATATAACACAAGACATCATTAACCACAAATATCCACTGATCTGTAGGGCTTCACATTGGCTGCCTGACAACTAAGCCTAAACATCTGTCTCTGTTTTCCCACAACTCCTCAAATTATTCCTGCATTCTTTCTTCCACGTGACATCTCACTTAACTCAGTCATATCTTAGCATTTTCCTTTAAATTTAATTTAATGTTCAGAACCTTCTTCGGCATTCTCACTTTGTTCATTCTTACAACATTTTCATACCATATTATTGTTATTTGTTAATTTGCATTCCGAGGTTCTCTCTAAAAAATAATTCCTAGCTGCTTCATTGGACTTGCCAGAGTATGTAGAAGTTCAGAGACTAGATGTACGTAAAGTAAAGCATCCTGCTACACGCCTATTTAGGCGCTTGGGGGGAGCGGCGGTATAGCTCCTACTTTTTCTTGACCTCGGCACCAGATGGGGGTGAGTGGTCAGCATAAGCCCCCGCCGCGCTTTACCCCCGGGAAAAGAGCCCGGTACTCATTGGACAGCAGGCTGGGTGGGCCCCAGAGCCGGTCTGGACGCAGAGGATAGAGGAAAAATCCTCTGCCCCAGTCGGGGATCGGACCCCAGTCAAACAGCCCGTAGCTAGTCACTATACTGACTGAGCTATCCCGGCTCCCAGAGACTAGATGTGATCAACAGTAATGTTCTAAGTACAGTAAATGTTTTGTGACTGCCAGAACCCTGTCTTGTGCTATGTCTTAAGCTTGTCTCCTGATTATGGTCTTCAGTACAAAGCATAAAAAGATCACAACAATGGAGTATCACTGATGCACACTAACAATTCAAAGCATCTGTACCTTTCCTGTTGACTGTGCTGGTTCCTGTGGAAGCTGTCGTGATGGTAGTGGTGACGGTGGTGGCGGCAGTTGTGGTTGTACTTGTCTGTGCCTGTTTCTGAGTGGCACCTTTCTTCATTGCTTTCTGTTTGTGTTTGTTGCCTGCAAATAACAGCTGTCTATGATCATCAAATTATTGTGTGTACAGCATATCTTATATTTACTTTGCAAAAAATTGGTTTTGCATCATTAAACATTTTCATACACATACAATTCTCATTTGTTAAACTTACAAACTGTCCGCTGAATCTCCAATGCTATCATCTAAAATGCATTTTTTCTGTTCCATTATCTTATCCTATAAAGTGTTTTACAATTAATTTGCCATGTAGTTAACTTAACAATGCTTTCTCAGCCAAAGAAGTTAAAGGCATCTAGTGGAACAATGACTGCGAATGATGAATCAGAAACAAAGTAGAAGGAAATGATCAAGGCCTACACAAAGGTACCATCCCACCATTCATCTGGAGGGACTGAGGAAAACCACTTATTTATTCCACATTGGATATCCTGGTTGTACTGCCAAGACTGAACGCTGTTTGTACCTGCCAGGTGGGTTTGCAACTGCTGTGAGGAATTCACTACCACATCGCACACCTCACACTTGAGGATCCTTGTTTTCTCATCCCGTGTGAAGGTCTGACCACTACTTTGCAGTTGCTTCAGAATCTCCTGTGATTTTACCTGCAAAACAACAACCATCAGTATTAAAATCTCACAACACTTAGCTGTTACGTAAATTGGAAGTCACTTCCATAATAAAGATTACACTGAAGAATCGGGATGTCTCCCAGAGCATTTCTCAACCGTTAATCTGCAGACAACAGCCAGTCTTACTTTATGCTCATTTCCAGATATAATATTATATACAATATAAACTTTTTCTGCAACAAGGAAAATTACTATTTTACAACTTGGAACTTGGTTTATTTTTATTTCATTTTAATTAAAAAATACTTTGTGCTGAATATTACTACTACTTTTATTACTCCCTCTTTTTTTAAAAAGAAATTCTGTGGCTGGTCAAGAGGTGAGCATGTATTTTAACAGCATCACATTCTACTAGATTCTTATGTACTGGCAAGTCTAGACAGGATGTGATAATGCTCCTTCAGCAGTTCTCATCAGTGTACATAATTTTTATACAAACTTTTTCTCATAGTACCTTTTTAGCATGCTTTGCTCCAGCAAGATGTGTCTCCAGGACAATTTGCCCTGAAAATTCTAGGCCACAAATGTCGCACTTACAGGTCACCTGGAAAGCAAAATTGAAAAAAGTCTGTGAAGGTTATGCAGTCATGAATAACGAATGAGTAAGTAAGAATATGCGAAGAAGCAATCATGGCCTATTTCAAGGCACTGACCTGATATCACCTGGCAAGACCAAGAAATCTTGAATACTTATCACGACAGTTAGTAACATCACCTAATTTCAAAATGGGTTATATACCTCTAAAATATATACAATGGATGTACCACTTGAAGCATCACAACCAAATACTGTACAGCAACTATCAGATAAAAACTTATAAAACTGGCAATAATTCCCAATATAGTGTGTTACAGATATATGAACCAAACAAAATTGTTTCCTTTAACATTATAAATTATTATCAATTAAACACATTGTTATGCAGAAAATGTTCTATGCTCTTTTACATCTTGTATGCAAGTTGGAAATAAATGAACTTGTTTACCAACCTAGCTTCTGACACTTTGCAACTCTGTACTTCTTTCCACGTGTACTTCGTACATATCAAAATGACTCCAGACTTCGTAACACTACGCTATCATGGAAACAATGTTTCCCTGATTATAAATAATGATGTACGATGTCAAGAAGTATTACTGTGGGAATTGCAAACCAGAGGTTGGGCACATGAAGGATCACACACTAGATACATTAAGTGCAGTGTTTATGTTGGCACTGCTAACTCCTACTACTCCAGAGTAAATAACTTAAAGGACGTGTTCATGAACAATAGCAAAAACATTAATTCTGGGGGAATTTAGACATGACAGCTGCTGAGAAATTCATTTTACAAGAGACTCGACATTTCCTGAGAATTGCAAAATTTGTAATATGGACAAATGGACAATATTCATACTTACACAATTTGAAATAAACAACACTTACACGGTTGTCATACTTGGATGGCATAAAGATTTATATCTTTAAGGAATACTAGAGTGATGGACTGGATAAGATGAGGGAGAAGGCAGGCTACTTCATGTAATATTTAAAAACACTTCACCATCTGTAAAATACTGCACCCCCAGGGACTGAGGAAAGTCAAGAAAATCCCTGGGCACAACAGCTGGTCCTTACAGGAATCAGTCTGAAGTAATATTCAAAATATTTGGATGATTACAGATTTATGTGTGGGTATAATTCAGTTATGGGCTATTTCAACACTTTTCTACAAAAGGGAACACAAAGGGTTATGATACAAAGCAAACTTTCACTTGAAGGTACTTAGCAATCAATTAACACTGCAGCTGCATTTCTTATGCTCATTAGCACTGCTGATACTGGACATGTACCAAGAATGACTCAGTAGCTAACAAAAGACAAGAAAAGCTTCCACATTCTAAACTGATGACACTTCTTTTCCATTATTTATTTTAAATATATTTTTTCCTGTACAGTAAAAGTTTTGCATGAGGAGCCAAAATTCTAACACACTTAAAAGAGAGTGGGTGTTATTGATCCTGAAAAGCTAAAATCATTCCAGTGTTTGTTCAACCATTAAAAATGGGTTTCATAAATTTCATAATCATAGATTATAAATTGTTCTGTAAAATATATGTCCCATTCTTTAAACTAGATGAGGCAGTAGGCATCAGAAATAAAGCTACTGCCTTTGTTGAATGTTGGTACGTTACACAGAGAAAATGAATATTTATCATCTTGGATATTTTCCACTTCGCAATGCTGGAAATCAACAAAGCAAAACTTACTGCCTGTTTCTTTGTAGGCAACTTCCCCATGATATTATCCATGACTGCTTTGGTAACTGGGTCACTACTGTGGAAGTTTGCTGATGGAAGCACATCAACTGGCTTCGCTGGTGGACCAGGTGTGGGTGCTGGGACAGGACCAGTCACTGCAGGCAGGGGCAGTGGTGCCACAAGAGGCTGACTGAGAGGCACTGTGCTTGGCAGAGCTGGGCTGCAACATTCCAGCAATACAGGTAACATCATGCCAATTGTCAGAAGTGAAATAGGATTTCAGGTTCTCGTGGTGGCGAGTATGAAGATGGCTGTCTTCTGAGTTGTAGCATCACGTACTCTGGTAGATGTTTACTGATGTTTTAGAGGTGCTTGCTGCTTCCATCATCACCTTGATAATGAAGGCAATAAGAACCTCTAAAACTTCAGTAAACTTCTAGAGAACTATATGATGCTACATCCAGAAGACAGCTATTTGTCATAGGTGAAATTTACCATTCAATACAGATGTAAGGCTTGCCCAACATGCAAGACTTCCTGCTCATGTAGAACCAATAACATTACAGAAGTTTAATACATGCATCTTAACAACTTAAAATGGGTGAGAAAGGAAAGGGCTCCTGCAAAATTATGGACTTATGCACAAAACACTAAACATCCTGTCTTAAATACTCTTTCCTTTACTACCAGTTCAAGGAATACGTGGAACAGGAAACAGAACGTTTAAACAAACAAGAAAGGATACAATGCTGAAATTTATTAAGATGATGGAAGTAAAATTTGGGTTAAAAACAACAAATAAGTTATTAGAATCTATGCAGTGGAAATTACTTTTTCAAGAAGTGCCATGGTTGTACCAAATTGAACAAGGTTAAAAATTATTATACATGGAAGGAGCTGAATACTTATTTGGAAGACTGAAGATCAGACTACAGACCAACCTCAACAGAATGGGCAGCAACTATGGAAAATGGCTCTTTACAATAAAACAAAAGAACAGACATGAGATGATAAAAAAATAACTTGATGAAGAATGGATCTAGACTGTTTAAATGTATTAATAACTGGGATCTATGTTTGACTTAAAGCAACACTGTGCACACTTTGTTCCTGACAACTTATGTATGCCTTTTGTTGAAAAGACGACGCTTCTCATGGAACCTCAGGAATAGCTAAGACCATACCAAATTCCACGTGGTATCACAGATATGTAATAAATAATAGCACTAGTTCAGTGTGGTACTAGGCGAACAAAATGTCTGTACAATGCTCTGAAGCTCAGCATAATTTGTGAGAAAACCAGTTCAGTAACTTCTGAAATATTTCTTTTTAGTCACCTGTTTTCAAAGAACCTCATGGCATTTAGAAATAACTCAGTTTCAAGCACTACCCTGAAGAACAAAAAGTTCAACTTATATTTAAAAAAATGTCTACCAATTCAAGAAACCAAAAGGCATAATATTAATAGTTGATAACACTATATAATCCTCAAGTCTGTAACTTATATTACTGTAAATATATAACATTTTAAAATAAGATATTTAAATGATTTAATCACATACAGAATATATCCATATAAAAAAACATCTCTGGGCAGAAGTTTAAAATTTAATGGGATAAATATGAACAATTTCTGAAGTTGCTGAATTCCTCTAGTGGCCATCATGTGAAAAATGTATGAATCGTGCTATGCTGCAACAATTTACATTTCCCAATTTGTCATATCTTATGAAGTATAAGATGGTCTGATGAATTCAAAGTTTTCCACAAATAAATTTTAATTCCCATGTCCAAACACCATCTGCTTACATTGCTGTCATACACAGGGAGGGGATTACATTCAACTTCTAAAGGCAAAAGTTTCTGACCCTGCCAGTGCTTAGTATAAAATGACCTGCCTAAAACTTATGTTACATCATGCTGAATTATATCACCGTGTAAGTGCGGCAACTTCTCTGGCACAGATGTGAGGCAGGTCAGGTGTCTGCACACATGGATTGTGGTCTAATCCCCCCAGTGGGGTCTTGGGGTAAACGACCCACCTAAAACCAAAGTTTGGTCAAACTGAGTAAACCCACTCACATGGATACACTTTATTGTATACATTAGACCAATTAGCATTTAAGAGCTCATATCTCAATTTCCAAACTTGCATTATTCTCATGAAAGAAACTTTAGCAGAAGTATAATTAACATAAAGCGCAATCTTTTCACTGCCAAAGCGTTAAAGTTCTACTAGAAATAATGAATGTGAATTTAACTTTACTTCAACATTTGCACTAATTCAAACACCACAGATAAATTTCACTGGCTGTATGACAATATAGATGGACCATCCTTAGTAATGTTTTGCAACCTTATGTAAGCAAATGTCATCTTCAGCATATCTCTCTGCCCACAAGAAGCAATTCTGCTGTAGGTAAATTCCTGACACACTGGCAATATATATGCTGATAAATTTATAAGGTACACATTCTTCCCTTCATACATCTAATTACTAGCACCTTTCTTCCTAAAGCACTGGCATGTAATAATCCTAAATTTGCAATGCATGAACTTTAATACAAAGTGTGAAGAATATTTAAAGTCAGGCCATATTTCACATGCAGCCAACAAATTCTACATAAAAACCAATCCAAAATTATCTTACTGCAATCACAAATAGCAGAAAAAAATGTGTTTCATCTGTAACCCAATATTTCACATAGGAAATTAGTCTAATAAATGAATAAAGCAATTCTTGTCAGGCTTCAAGAGCCCTAAATTATATCACACATTTGGCAAGACAGACAATAATTGGGAAAATTTTAATGAAATGATTACTTATGACCATGTAGGAGAACTGCTGATGAAGCTGAATTTCTTCAAATGTGAAGCAAACAAACAAATGTTTAAATAATCATTAAGATGTGAGAAACTACATCTACATCACAATAAAAACCTCCAGGATTACAGAAATATATTTGCTTCAAGTTACATTTTCATTAATAGCAGATGATATGAATTTAAACATCATGATTGGCAAGAGCCATGGCCAATGTCCATATTCATATGTTCTTATTCAGACCAGACTACAATCAACTCACCTGTACCCCACCATAGTAGCTACAGCTTGGAAACCAGGACCCGTGTAAAAACTCATGGCTGAAGATGACTGAGTTGCAATCCAACTACCAACTGGTGGGCAGTCTAGCAACCAGCACAACTGAACAAAGCAAAACAGCAAGAACAAAAAAAACAAGCTTATAAAGTCACAGTGGCATGACAACTCTTAAAATAATTGTATACAGCAGCATTAAAATCACTGCTAATGTCTGTCACAAAGACATCTAATAATCTGTTATACAGAAGAACCTACATTTGTATTTGAACTACATAATGGGGACCAGTATAGCACATGTCCAGTTTAAATCTAATACAATGTATTGTTGCACTGCACTCAATCTATGCCCAGAATGAAGTGCATTACTCTAAACATCCCAGTGTCCTATCAAGAAGGAACTGTGCCACCAGCTGTTTTAAATTTGTCAACACAGAGGTGGAGTCTATTAATTGGTCCTGTAAAGAACTGTTTTTTTATAAAGTATTGTGAAACATAGTTTAAAATTATGCCAGGCTAATTTTATACACACCTACATAGCAGACGTGTGAGCACAACACGAGAAGTTAATGGGGCATAATATTCACTTGTGCACACATAGTTTCAATTTTGGTAAAAGAAAAATATCACTTGCACAAGGAAAAATAATTTTAAGCTGCCAATTAAAAATGGAACACAGAATACCTTTGTTTCAATATCAACATGCTGCTACTTCCACATACAGGGAATAGTTATGAAAGCCTGCGACCTTCCTACAGATTTTGGTCCATATCCAAATGACAGAACAAAAAGCAAACAGTAAGAGGATGTCATTACAACTGCTGCTTCCACCGACTGTCACAAAATAAACATTAATATTGGAACCATAAATGCAACATTCCTATCCGTATCATCAGAAGTGAGTGTAACTTTCTTTTACAAGGAGGATAAGAAGTGGCATAACATGTTTTTGCAGTTTATTTAACAACACTTTCTCAACTGCAGAGGTTAAACAGCATCACATCAAAGCATTTATCTGGAGAGGCTGAGAAGAACTATAACAAACCTCTGAGATTTAAAATTCTCATGATGAAGATGTTGATGATGGTCTTCTGGACTGTGATGTCAAGAGTCTTGTAGGTGATTACCAATGTTTTGGAGGAACGTTGGTAACTACCTGTAAGATTACACAGCATCATAACACAGATGACCATCAATGAATACAGTAAATGCTCTGTTAAGGCTTGCAGTAGCTCAGACTATATAAAATTTAATGATATGGTGATTAATAAATTGGAAACTGCGAGGAAGGAGGATGGCCTAAGTTAAGATACACCAGCATCTGCCTGCAGGAACTGAAGAAAACCAGAAAAACCTGTCAGGATAACTGGTCTCTGGGTATACATCCGAATCAGAGACCTGAATATGAAGCAGGAGTTCTAACCACTGAATCTAATGTTCATTGAATTCTCTTATCTAATCCAATTAAGTTATAATGTATTTCATAATTATTAACTGGACAAGTTCCTTAGTGTGTGTGCATGTGGCATGGGGTGCTGTGTTCATGTGCTGGCAAAGTTATTCAACAACACACACAGATACATTACCAATATAAATTACAGTGCACAGAAATTGTCTGTCACCAAATTTTGTTATAGTACTCACACAATTCTGACACCATGTTTCACACTAGATGACTTGTATAAATTTTGTTAAAGTACTCACACAATTCTGCCACCATGTTTCACACTAGATGACTTGTAAACCCATAAACAGCAAATTGTTAATGAGTTCACCAAATAAATTTTCTACCAGTTTTAAAACAAGACCCTCTTATGACCCAAATCTGACATTTATTAGAAAAATACAAACTTATGGATAGTATTAAACATAGAATTTAAAAAGTATTAATCATTCAAGCTTCAGTCAAGCATAAAAATTAATGTTATGAAATCGCTGATGCCTCTAAACCCCATAGAAATGACACCACTTTCAACAAATCAAACTACTACTTGTTGATCATACCTTGTCTTACATTTTGTTACCTAAAATTGGAAATAACTGCTCACTAACTGATAAATTTTAATGTTCCTTAAATTCTTGTTTGGAATCTATCTATGTTTATGGTATGAATAAATGGATTAATGGTGATGTAAAATGGAATCGTTTAACACACGAAAGAGAGACAATAGCTCGTCACCAAAGGGTGTTTTATGTGGGTCTAAATGATACGGGTTCGTTTCCCATCGGGGGAAAACTTTTATTCTCTTGTCACTGGATTCAGACTGTTACTAGGGTCCACTCAATGTACAATCTAAACGGTAGTGCAGAGTCTAGAAAGCGTGAAAATCTACATTCAATTTCTGTTAACAGTTTAATGTCGAGACCTTACATATCGAACAGTCACAAACACTGAATTATTGAATAGCAATAAAGTCCATGGCAACACAGACTTTTTAACGTTAGTCTTCTTATTTCTATTGCCAAAACACTTTTATAACTCTCTATATTTAATTCAAGTTTGGAGCGTTGCGTTACCAAACCAGTCACAATAATCCAAATTATTTGCGAATGAACAATTTGATTTCAAGCACACACGCTATACATGAAAATACTAAAGCATCACTTTCAACCGAAATTAGGAACAACGTTGATTTTGAAAGCTGTGTATCACACTATATCTGTAATGATACTGATTATTGATTAAAATTGTTGGTAAATGCACATCTTCTCATCTACAACCGGCTACACGGACCAGCAAGGCAATCCGCTGAATATACAGTAATTACACATATATATTAAAACATTTCACTCAGACCAATAACGTTGTATATAAGGTTTTGAAAAATAATACTTACACACAAGTTGAGCAATAACTGACACCAAACAACTCAAAATAAAAACTTTTCTACCACAACAATGAATACTCGGAATTCACAAGATTTTTACCAGTAGATGGTGCGCCGGACTGTCGATATGAACATGTGAACACAGTTGTTGTCTCCTCTATTGGTAAATTGGAGAAATTGTCGCAATGGCTTCATGGATGAATCGGTAACAATACTTCCCTTTCTCCCACAGTGGTTTGGGCAATAAGTTTCTTAGCTTGTTTAATAAAGTTTTCTTTCCGACGTTGGATATGCCGTTGAACGGGAGAATACATGGTGAATTTTTAACGATGTTTTATCCGTAAATAATATGGAATCAATAGCTCTACCTTGTAAAGATACGATTACTATCAAGTAGTCTTTCATAAACATTAAAAAATTGTCAATGTTTGTGACACTCTTGTTTGCGAGCCCCCAGAAACAAAATGACATACCAATCATTATTACATACTTACTTTGGCCCTATGTAATATTTAAATGCTGTGTGATAAAGAAAATCATTTTGTTAGAATTAATAATAATGTATTGTATTTTTATTTTGGTTGGTGCTTGCTACAAATTTGTATTTTCATACTACATAAATTATTTAGCAATTGACAGAGTGAAGTTACAGGATAGCCCTACCCCTCTCCTTACTTGTTGCTTTTGAAAATTTCATTTTGCTCTTCTTATGTCGATAATTTCTTGAGATGGGTGGTAAGTGTTCCCACGAAGACAGAAACACAGATTCATCTTCCTAAAAATTAAAGAGATTTACAATATTAGGAAATAACACACAGCAATTTATAGTTTCTTGAAAAACTCTCTGTATTTAGACCAATTTACGCGCCATAATAATCCATGTAAAGTAAAATAAAGTAAAGCTGTCCCACTATATGCCATGTAGATGCTTGGGGGGAGAGGTTGAACAACTGTAACCTCTACCTTTGGAAATGACTTGAAGAAATCAGGCCAAATTTTAGTTACAGTTATTTAATGGCAGAAGTTAGTGGTCAAAAAATAAATGCCAGAAAATTATGTAGCTCAGTTTAAAATTTCTTACTTACAGGATTCTGAATGTAAAAATGTAGAAGTCGTCTGAGTTCAGCATTCTGCCGTTTGAGTTGTACTGTATCCACATTCAGTTTGTGGCGATCTGAAAGAGATCAGAATTGTGAATTACACTGTAGAAGAATTCAAAATCATGATTCTCGAAAGTATAACATAAAGCTTCCTGTCATACTACCACAAATACAAAAATTACTTCTAAGTAGTAGGAAAATCCTGGAATTTTATTACGCCTGTATAATTTCCTTACTGAGTCATCTTACCAATGTATATAAAGGAGACAGATTGTGTTTGGATATGAGAATTAGCTCAGTGAGAAACTAACATCGTGATTAGCAATCTGTTGGTGACTATGCAGACACTCTACGCTGAACTACTGACTTCTCATGTCTACAGCACAGTAAAATGATACCATAGTTCTTACAACTTTCTTTCATGTGTGATGTCTGGTTGATGCACCTAAAATCAGTTTTGCCATCCTGAATTGTAATCAGCTGATGTACTACAAATGTCTGAATAGTAACTTTAGCTGTACTTTAGCTGAAAATTGACAAAATTATAGAGTACTACAATAATTTGGAAATGTTTATAATTTAATGTAAAGAATGTTTGCTTCCATTAAACAATGAAAAAGAAGGTATTTTCTTGAACTGTCAGAACCTTATATCATCTGACACATGAACGCTTCCTCATTGGGCACTATTTAAAATTACTGTGGTGTCTGACATTTAAGAGCAGGCCACAGATGCAGCCCAGGTTGTTATTCTAACCCCAGCATCTAAATGAACATTTATGGTTGTCTGTGTTTCATCAGGTTTAGATAATTTTTAATATTTTACAATGATCAGAATGTCCAAACAAGTTTTTGGTTCTAAGATTTTGATCATTAGAATTATCTTCACAATTTTAATTTCATTCAGTACTCTACGCATGACCCATGACTACAAACTTTAAATATGTGAGTTAACATATTCAATTGTCATTCTTGTATTAAACATATGTTTTAATATGTACCTTCTAGAATACGGTGGTACATCTGCAGCCCTATTAACAGGCCATCCCATAGCTTTTCTCGCTGTTGAGAGAATATCTTGCGGAATCTTGTCCAAAAGGCAGTTACATCCTGTGTTGATAATAAGCGGGACACTGTACTGTGCTTTACAGATTTCAAATTTGTGTGAAGGCTGCTGAAACATACAAAACACTATATAAATCTTACATATTTAAGTATTACATAAAACAACTTTATACGTTTGTGTACGGCTGGCATTTCAAGCTGATTCCATGGAATAGTCTTTCTTAAGAAGCTAATAAATATCAACTAGTCACGGAATTCTTGAATTCCCAGCCATTTGTGGAACTTAAAGTTTCATTACCATGTTCAAAAGAGCCCACCACTGGTCTGTATTCTGAATGAGATAAATCCTGTCCACACTTTCATACCCTATTTCTTTGAGATTTATTTCAATATTATTATTTCATCTGTGCCAAGCAGATTCTTCCCTTCAGTTTCTCCAACCAAAATTTTGCATGCATTTCTTGTCTCCCACGCATGCCCCTGCCATCTCATCCTCCTTATTCTAATTGCCAAAAAATATTTGGTAGAGAGTAAAACTATAATTGCTTATAATGCAGTTTTATCCACCCTCCTGCTCCTGCCTCCCTTTTAAGATCAAATGTTCTCTCCTCAGCATCCTATTCTCTGTCACCTGGTATCTTTGCTCTGGTGGGTTCTTCATCACCAGCTAGCAAGTACCAACCTCACATATAGTAGCGTAACTGTGACATGTACTGACCTGTGTTCTTTAGGAGCAAATTTGACAGCAAAGTCTCGGAGAGCTTTGAACACATACACGGGATCAATAAAAAGTGGAAGTGTCTCAGAACAGCCTGGCTTGCTGTGTGTAAGGTGAAGTTTAGCTGAAATGTGACAATAAACAGCACAGAACTTTATTGCCTTGAGGTAAATTTACTTCAAACTTCACATTGTGCATTAAGCAGTATATATAAAAACTAAATTTACATAATAAGTCTCAGTACTGATCCCCATTATAGAATTCCATTGAAATACATCAGTTAGTTTTATAGACAAAACATTCAGACAGATCAGCGTAGCTTCCCTTATGTCTAGTTATTTTTTTTTTGTGTGTGTCTTGTGAGTGAATGAGCAAAAGCGTAGCTTCCCTTATGTCTAGTTCTTTTTTTTTTTGTGTGTGTGTGTGTCTTGTGAGTGAATGAGCAATTTCTATACAGTATTAAAACTGTGTTTGTTAATCTGATACAAAGACAAGGACGTGATGAGAACTCTGTTCAAATAAGTCTGAAACATCTTGAATAAAATGGCACAAATATTCTTTACAGTCCAGTTAAATAGAATTTCCAGTCATAATATTTATTACAATATACAAATTAAATTGCATACAAAATATTCTGTACCATTCATGAGATATGTGCTTTCAGTATAGTTGTGTCAGCTGAGAAGTCAGAGTGCTGACATTTGTGTTACCTTTAGCACCAGCAATGGACTTAACAGGTGTAGAGGTGGCCTCAATGGCTGTGATGTCCATGTCTTTGAGCAGCTGTTCCGCTTTTGCAGGGTCCACTCCAAATTTGACGATGCTTGTATCAAATATCATACCTGCCTCTGCAGTTTCTGTGTCTCCTGCAGTTGATGCACTGTTAACATGTCAATATTCTGGTGGCAAATTTGTTAGCTCACTTTCCTTGTTTTTATATAAATATAAGCTTATGGTTTAATGTTCATGCATCTTTTCTCCCTAATAACCTTTTTAACAGCTGATGGACTTTCATTAATTTGGTATAACATCATACCACAAGAGGCTACTACACCTTTGTATTTTTTAGCTTTCTACTATTAATAAGGAAGGAGAAGGTGATGAGGTAATTTTTGTATTTTTGGCACTTATATCACGAAATTATATGCTGAAAATACAAGCCTGAAAAGGAAGCAAATATGAATTTTGTAATTAATACAAATGACCACACACCTGCCAATGGACTCATGAGAGCTCCTGAATGTGGTGGTCATCTTCTCTTCCACTGAAGTGGAGCACACGCTGCATTTTGCATATGGTAGGAAGCATTTCTTTAACATCATTATCTCTGCTTCAGTGTTTATTCCCAAAGCCTAGAACGTCCAAATTGTTCACAAGTTCCATAAAACCTTATTAGTTGACTTTTGAGATATCAGCCCCAATTTTAAATGGCGCTGTAATTTGTTTATCCTATTAATTTTGTATAAAATAATTTTTCTGTGTTTAAAAGTACTGTATTTTGATGGAAAAAATTAAAGGTTATAATTGATAATGTTGGTTTTCTAGGTTGTTACACTATATGGATTTGTAGGTAGACCAGTTCTCAAGTATTGTTGGAAGCTTTGTATGAAGATAAATTAGTATGTTATAGATTGTCAAAATCTTAACTGAAAACATAAGGGAAAGTAAAGCTGACATCATTGTCTGATACTTACAGTAAAAACATTGTCAATTTTTATAAGCATCTTCTTCTTGTCAGTGTGTGGTCCAAGTAGCTCATTAAGTTTTTGTTCAACAAGGAAGTCAGAATTGTCTGCGACCAGTTTCAGAATGTTCTGCAGTAACCTCTCCTTTGCATGTAACTTTTCCATATCTTCATTTCTTACTGTCAAACCGACTGATTTCAGTTCATCATTTTTGCCCTGAGTACCTTAAATATAACAACAAAAAACCCTGTTACTTTTATAAATAAGGTACAGTGTTGAAATTTTGGGTTGTACTGCCAGACTTTTTATGGCTGCCAATATGGACTATATATGAAGGCATAAATATAAGTTATACTTATTTTACTAATTATTCATCAAGTTAAAAAGAGTTTTAAGAACATATATGTATATATAATACAATATAACACATTTATTGCCATAAAACATTTTATGATACATAACATTTTCAGTGTATAATCTAGATTCATACAATCATACTACCAGAATGAGTTTGGTGAATACCTCTGATCTTTGCCTTACCTTTCTCAGGAAACAGATCAGCAATGACCTGCATGGCACAGCGATATGATGCCAGGTCTTCAAGGCGCAGCAGAGAAACATCGGGGTGTGTCCACTCCAGTCCAAGCTGGTGCTCATGCAATATACGATCAATGTCCAGTACCTGAAATACAATGAAGTTATGAAGAAACTCTGTACTAGAGAGTGCTTCCTCTCCTATCAGGATTGAAAGAGAAGACAGGTATTTTCTGATAGGCAGCTTATACTTACAGCTACAATATATATATTGAAATTCCAATTAATATGTTGCAGTCAAGAAACAGTTTCTTTTGACAACTTGATGCAACTGATGGTTGAAGAAGATTTTATGAAGTGTGGCCACCATAAAGTTTCAAATCATACATAAAAAACAGACAAAATCAAGAGATTAAATAAATTTCACCTTGTCTAGTACTGTCTTGGCTGTGTCTCTGTTGAGTTCCCACACCTGTTGATACTTCCTGTCATTCACCTCTGCAAAGTGGTCAGCCTTCTTCTCTATGTCCAATATATTATGCTGCAACCTCATCACCTCCTCTGTCAGCCGTGCAGACTCCGTTTCTGTTGACTCCTCTGTCTCAGCTATTTTCTTTTTTAGATTATTCACCACATCTTGGAGCCTCATAAGATAAATTTAAATAATTATAATTGCAGCTTGTCACATTCCTTCACCTGACACAAGTCGGGGATGTGGAATATATTGCATAAAAGTAACACAAATATAAATAAAATACATGCCATATACATTTAACATTAACAATAATCAGTTGTTACACCTATTTCACAATCCTATATTATGAGGACATTTAATTATGCAGGTTTTCATAGGTTATGTGAAAACATTTATGGAGAACCACACCACTGTTACACAATACAATTTTATAAACAGAAGATGAAATAATTCTAGCTGCATATCACAGAGTTTTAAAACATTAACATTATCTGTTGATAAATACTTCATACTATAATTTAAAATGTGGATGAAAGATGTTGGAAACTAATGCTGTACTTATATCCTTGGTATATGCTGTATGAGGAATGAAGGAAATATTTTTTAATGCAGATTTAATTATGGTATAACGTATCTGATTTTTATTCAGGAGATACCTAGCTCAAATCCTGATTAGGGAACTGCCTCCACTGGATAAAAAGACCATGCAGGCAAATTTTTGGACCATACCTTCAAAGACTGCTTCCTCCCCAGTTTCACATATTTAACCATTCATAACTCTACCACAGTTAATACAGCATCATAAAATAACCAATAAAATATTAAAGTTATGCACTGTCTAGTTTGAGTTTCATAACAGGATGATATGAAAGGTTCTAAAACAGACTAAATTCAAGTTTGAAATTTCAGTTCCATAAGTTTTTTATGTCTTTACATTGTTAAGGAGATAATTCATGTACTTTAAAGTTAATGGATAGGAGTCAAACCAGAAATTCATGACAGATTTATGCTAAATGTTCATATTTTCAAGATGATGTCATGAATTGTAGTCATCCAGTTGGTAGATACAACAAAAACAATATGACACAATATAGACAGCAGATTAAGTACCTGTTGATCCTGCGTTTCTGTTTGGCTCTTACAATGAGGTTTTCCTCTTCCCTTCTCTTAAGAACCTGGAAATTGTAGACAAGCTTCTCACTGTTCATGAGGCACTGTCCCTTCACAAGTTCCAGTTCTTGTTGAAGTACCTGAACACACAGTTCAGTTTCAGTGAGGCTAATTTCAAGTAGGATTTGAGGTTTTTACAGTGGTGAGTCTGAAGATGGCTGTCTTCTGGGTTGTTGCACCGTGTAGTCTGTTAGAAGCTTACTATGTTTCAGAAGCCCTTGCTGCCTCCATCAACAGGATGAATATAGGGACAGCAAGGACCTCTGTTAGTAAACTTCTACCAGACAACATGGCACAACAACTCAGAAGACAGCCATCTTGAGGCTAATTTCATTTCAAATCTGTATCATCTCAATATTTAGGCAGTAGTGACATGTTAATCAAACCTGTATGTCTGACTCCAGCTTGATCTTGACCTCTCTCAGTTTCTCATGATGTTCCACAGCCACTTTGTATATTTCATCCTCATATTCATCAACTGTTTGGAACTTCTTCTCCATGTGCTCCACTTCAAGTTTCTCATGTTTCTTGTACAGGGCCTCCCACTTCTTCTCACTGACCTCCATCAGTTGTTTGTGTTCAAGCGCAATCACTTCCTGAAAACACACATACATATCAGTAGAATGGAATGACTTATCAATTGCAAGTCTTATTAGCTGCTAGCAACATACAAAAATAATACTGTTTCTCAGTGGGCTTAATTCCAGGCAAGGTCAGGAACTTTTATCTTCCACCTGTAAATTCATCATTGCTATTCATTCAAGTAAAATAAAACATCATTTAAGCTGAGAACATGCTCTCATGTAGTAATGAGTTGACACATTCTACACCATTTTTCTTTCCTCCATTGTTCTTTTTAGTAAGTTTGCTGGCACAGTGGTGACACGTTTTGGTGGTACCCAGTTTGAATTCAAGCTAAAGACTGACTTCTCTGAGGTTTTTCTAGCTTTCTTTAGTCCCTCCAATCAAATTGTAGAAAAGTACTTTACGCATGTCTCATTTGCTTCATCCCATACTCTCCAGATTTATTATTCCTAAGACATCTCATCTGATACACAGAATACCACTGGCTGATGCAGTATCATAAAATAACCAAACAACTTACCAGTTCATGTTTTCATAGCACCTTCTCTTACCTCAATGAGCTTCAGCTCGTCCTTATAAGCCTTCCTCATAACTTTTACTTGATTGTCAATCCTTTCTGTCACGAGCCACAGATCTTCCTTCTGTTTCTCTTGGTCTTTCTCAAAACGCTCATCTGCCAATCTGAGTTCTGTCTTCAGCTCCTTGATCAGCTTGTCCTTCTGAGAAATAAGCTCTGCACATTTCACTGCAAAGTGCAAGTAGAGAAAATTACAAATGATCAAGGAATGTCAATTTATGATCTCTTTTTTCATCAGCCATATGAATAAAGGTGTTTTGGGTGTCTGTAGTGATGCATGCACATACAAAACAGACTTAGCATGCAACATAAATAACACTGCACTGAGTCAGAAATTTTCCCTTGTATTTAATGAAACATTCATAGTATCAAAAACCTTTTCAAGGAAAATTTGTAGATATTTAAAAGGCCTATAATTGATGTCACTTTAAAATTCGTGTAAGATCAACTGTTCTTGAAAATGTCGATGAACTTAAATTTCTTCATAAAGTATTTACCAGAATTAAATTTACCATAAAACATTTTATATAGACGTTCAATATTAATTTTACTGAAATAAAACATTTTATGTAGACGTTCAATATTAATTTTACTGAAATGTGATCAGTAGTTTTCGAGACAAAATATATGTACAAAAGAATATAAATGACTGTCCTTACATCCATCCACTTTGTACAAAGGGCACAAAATAATTTCTCATTTTTCCTCTTTCTTCCCTTTCAGTCAATGTATAGCAATTGCCAGTAATTGAGATATCAGGTATATTGTGTAAGAAATTAAACAAGACAGATTTACCTTTCTGTTCTTCCATATCTCGGTGCAGATCCAGAGGGTCATTTGATTCCAAGAAGATTTTCCACCTAGAATTAACTACATTGAATTTTTCTACACTCTCATTTGCTTGATCTTCCAGTCTCTCAAGACGTTTTTCTCTTGTGGCAACTTCATCCTTCCTCCTTTTCACCTCACGAGCATCATTTGCTACTTGAACATTTGTTATCTGCATATGCCAATACATATTACAAATAAGAGTTTGTATTTACATCTACAATTGTCAACCAGACAATATCATAATTCCTTTCCTCACAATGTCATGCCAATTCTTCTGTCACATTGAAATGTTTTAATATTACAATCACATATTTTATTTTTGAACTTGTATGTATCTTAAACAGAAATAAAGCTAAAAATTAGAAGGAATAAGAAAAGACTGAAAATGATTTACTGTACCCTGCAACTGTAAAACAGTGAGATATATATGACTTCTGGTTGCAGATTTTTGGTCCATAATATAGTTTGGACATAACCAGATTGGAGCTGGATTGACCTGTGCAGATCATCAGAAATTATACATTGTATTCTCTCTTGTAGGCTCCTGTCCAATGGGTACCGGAGTCCTTTCTTGGGGGTAAAGTATGGCTGGGGCATAATGTTGACCACTCACCCCTATCTGGTATTGAAGTTAAGAATGATAAGAGCTGGAGTTATTCTTCCTCAAGCGCCTATATGACATGTAGTGGGACAGCTTTATTTTTTTCATTCTCTCTTATCGCACTAGTATGGAATTTTTAAGATAAAAGAAAAATCTTCAAATTTGTCATTGTCTTATAGTGACATAAAAATTATTTTAAAATCTCAGCAAGCAGAAATTGCAGAGTTATTACACAGCCTCAGACAAAATTTTAAGAGGTTGAATCCAAACATGGTAAAACTCGATACGTAAATTTGCAGCTAGCCTAATTGTATAATATGAAATTCACTAAAACTTGGAAAAACAATTATTAATTGAGCCAGAAGGGGTTGGGGTTTGTCCACATGAATCTGAAGATACTGTAGCCTTATAAACAAGACATAGTTCTCAAAAACAAACTCCTAATTTGTGACATACATATATCTGTCATCCATCAGTATAAAATGGAATTGATGCTAGAAGAAGAAGATGTATTTGTCAGTAAACCTTCTCACCAATTCTTTCCCATCCAACAATAACCTCTCCAACTGGTCTTCACTGATCTGTAGTTGTATCTCCAACATGGTCTTGATGTCCACTTCCAATTCTTGGCATCCGTTGAGCTGCTGTTGTCTGAAACACCAAATAAATTTAATGGAGGCCTATATTGGTCACATAGGAGAGGGTTTAAAATATTTTTTCCAAGATGTTTCATATAATGTGAAAAAACCTGCCAAAAAATATACTTAAAAGAAGAAGAAATTTGAAGGAAATGATGATGAAGAAGAAAATAAAATCCATATTATTGACCTAATTATTTTAAAATCTCAATGTATGTGGTTAGTTCAGTGTTTGTAAATGCCTCCCATCTTTAGATTAAATCCTGGATGTTCAAAGGCGATACATTAAACATTAGAATCACAGTTTTAAGTCATTATTTAAAATTATAACATTTTAAAATCTTAATGTTTCATGAAAGTATGGTACTTGTCATGAAAATAAAAAGGAACAGAACACTAACTCACACTTGCAAATACATAAGAATGCAAGATCTTTCATTGTATCAAGCATATGATTCAATTTACCATTGCAATGTGTGACTTTCATTTTACTTCCAACAGAAAGTGAAGGTGTCATAAAGGGCAGGAGTTGAGGGTATTCTATATTAAAATCACAAATATAACAAAGTTTCAGTAAAGTAAGCTCCTGCATAAATGTAAACATAAAAAATTAAATTATAATTATGTATCATAAAAGGAACATTATACTTTTAATTTTTGTAAGTATTAATCAAGTCTGTAGATTTACAGAAGGTGTACTGTAATATAAAAAGTGTTTATGACGTCCACCGTGGCAAATCGGCATTGTATTATATCACTGATTAATTCCTAAATTAATTTTTGAAACCCGCAACTTGATTGACAGGCTTACTGATTTGCTTTTTGTAGTCGTTTTTTAATTCTCAACCGACGGGCAAGTTTTCTTTCGTTAGGGCCCAGAGAAGTTATCTGGAGCTCGGATGCGCCTTCTTCGTTTGCATTTTCCTCCATTCCCAAAGATTTCTTGTAGCCCTAATTTTGTTTAAAATTAATTCTTATTCAAAGACGTGTAAATTAGCAGACGACGTAACAACAAAACGCGGAAGGAACTATATTGTTTATTCGTACTTCCACAGTGCTTTGCGTTTCCTTCTATGCAGACGCAATGGCTGTGAGTGTTGTGAGCGTTGTGTGATATGTTGTAAAATCTTTCATCATCTTATGTATTTGTTTTTGTTATATATTTTTAACAGAACTGAGATTACTGTTACAATTTCAGTTGTGTGGTGTGATGTCTATTCGAAAATAGTTTGCGATTGTGCATATATTTTCAGATTCATCAACCTAACCTATAAAATTTGGAATGTTCAAACACGTTCCACTACCTGGGAGTAATTATGTGTTCAGTTTGGAGCATTTAATGTAACATAATTTATTTTTCAGGACAAAAAAGCAGAACCTGCAAAGGCTAAAAAGCCTCGTAAGGAGCCAAAAGATAAAAGCAAGAATCCAATGCGGGAAGTCCGTATTCGTAAATTATGCCTTAATATTTGTGTAGGTGAGTCTGGTGACAGACTTACACGAGCAGCAAAGGTAAATAACTTTCACTCTGGTTGATAAATAATTGCACATCAATCGGTACCAAGTGATATCAGGTTCATCGCCACTGATGTTGCTTAGTCAGAATGTGCAAAAATAGATCCTACCCAACTTACATCATGCTTTGTTCCTTTAGTGTGATGCAAAAGGGAAGGAACAGAAAATAATGTATTGAGGATACATGAATGAAATAAGTTTATAGTTGGAAATAATAAAAGTTCGTGATTCTTTCAGGTATTGGAATCCCTTACTGGTCAACAGCCTGTTTTTTCCAAGGCCAGATATACTGTCAGGTCATTTGGCATTCGTCGTAATGAGAAGATTGCTGTTCATTGCACTGTGCGAGGTGCCAAGGCAGAAGAAATCTTGGAACGAGGGTTGAAGGTGAGTTTCTGTTTCTAACTAATGTTTGAAATCTGTATGTGATAAAATTATGGTGTACAGTCCATTTCATTATACTACATTACCAGCTTCCCTTCTGTCCATCAATATATTTACTGTGCATTAGGGGAGGAAGGACATGGCAGGTGGTGCATATTGTTTAATATTTACATCTCACTTTATCTTTAACCAGGTCCGAGAATATGAGTTGAGGAAGGACAATTTTTCAGACACTGGCAATTTTGGATTTGGTATCCAGGAACACATTGACTTGGGTATTAAGTATGATCCCAGTGTTGGAATCTATGGTCTTGATTTCTATGTTGTACTGGGTCGACCAGGTAAGAAAACGATATTTCTTCAAGCTGTCGGAACTCTGTATTGCAAATATAGTAGTGGAGTAAGCATGTCATGCTCGTTAAGATGGCTCATTGAAGTACCTGTTTTAGTTTTTAGGCTGCAGAAATGAATGTCATTGTAAAACTGTTTATTCATAGGTCATTTTGAATCCTGCCATCTCTAATTTATTTGTAAGAATATTAGCATGCACCCTTGTTCAAGTTTAACCTTAATTTGAGGTTTTATTTAGTAAAAGTGTGCTAAAGTAAAGCCACCTTATTGCAACCCATGTCCACGCTTGTACTGGTCATGTTACTAAAGGGGTGATACATGCTGAATATGCAGTGCTATAAGTTTGTACAGTAATTTAACAAATAATATGAAGTGTATGTATTGCCGTGGGTCTACGTGTTTGGATACATGAGGTTGATACAGCTTTTATTAATTCAGGTGATGGCTTTCTTGACATGGTGTGATGTTTCAGGTTTCAATGTGGCTCATAGACGAAGGAAGACTGGGGTGGTTGGTTTCCAGCACCGTCTGACGAAGGAAGATGCCATGAAGTGGTTCCAGCAGAAGGTTTGTCTAAAACATAGTATTATTGTAGGGGAAAGTTTATATGTGTAGCTGCTCATGGAACCCCAGCAAGTAGATTTGTGAAGCATTCTACCTTACAAAATATTCAGCATCATGCTGGGGCCAGTTTCCTATAGGTGTAGGAATTTTTTCCTTACTAAATTATGGTTTCCGGTAACAGTTTTGGGTATTGTTTTTATAATGTAGTGTTCTAGGTGTTTAATTTTTGTTTGCTTCGGTTCCCATCAGAAAGAAGGTAAAATGTAAAAAATATGTTCTGTTTTGACAGAGGATAATGTATTTTGTGTTATAATTGTGAATGCCATTTGTACTGGATGATATTAAAAATAGGTGCCTCACTTGAAAGTGAGGAATATGATGAGAGGAAGCACATATATACATTTGAGAATCTTTGTACTTGTCACTGGTTTTTTTGCTGGGGGGGGGGGGGGGGGGGGCTTATGGTTTCCGGTAACAGTTTTGGGTATTGTTTTTATAATGTAGTGTTCTAGGTGTTTAATTTTTGTTTGCTTCGGTTCCCATCAGAAAGAAGGTAAAATGTAAAAAATATGTTCTGTTTTGACAGAGGATAATGTATTTTGTGTTATAATTGTGAATGCCATTTGTACTGGATGATATTAAAAATAGGTGCCTCACTTGAAAGTGAGGAATATGATGAGAGGAAGCACATATATACATTTGAGAATCTTTGTACTTGTCACTGGTTTTTTTGCTGGGGGGGGGGGGAAGCTTACATTTGAGAAGCTTTGTATTTGTTCCTCATCTTTGTTTAAGGAACTTGCAACTTTTGCATATCTTTACTCCATTGTTTTCTTCCTTATGTTGTCTGAAATTAAATTGCTGCCAGTTCTTGGTTTGAATAGGGGGACCTCATTTCTAAAATAATGGAGAGCTGTTTCTTGTTTCATGTCGGGGGCTGTCCTGTTGTAAGTAAGTTTCTGCTTGTAGATGCAACTGCACACATTCCGGTACCAAGCAGCATCTTGCAGTTCAGTGCGTTGTTGCTTTGTCTTTGTGTGCTACAGTAAACCCTTCTATTGCAACTCATTCCTACGTACTACTAGGAATGTTACTTACATGGAGGGACAGGTGCTTACTAATTGCTCCCTCTTGTTTTAATGTTAAATTTATGGATGGAAAACATCTTTTCCATCTGCTGTTATTTCTCAGTTATCAGATACTCCATTTGCCTTGTCATCTAAACCAATGTAGTTTGGCATGGGTGCTGATGGTTTAACTCCAGTTTGGACTGGAAGTACTGTTTATATTTTAATTTAGTTAATGTTTAGTTTAATCTTGAATGTTGACTGAATTCTAATTAAATTACGTTTACTGAAAAATGTTCAATATATTGGGCATCTTAAAATTACATTTGCAGTTGATTCAAGTTTAGTTTAAATTTCAAGTTGAATAAAATTCTGATTTAACTGCATTTCATAAAAGCTTTTGATACATCAGGAAGAGCCCGTTGGGCAACAAATCTATATGCAGCAAACTATTTGCCTCTTTCCTTTCTACAAAGTACATACAATGTTGATTTTGTAATGAACATTGAATAAAAAAGTAAAGCTGTCCTGCTATATGCCATGTAGATGCTTTGGGGGAGAGGAGGTATAGCTCATACTCATTCTTGACCTCAGCACTAGATGGGGATGAGTGGTCAGCATCACGTCCCAACCGCACTTTATCCCCGGGAAAGGACCCCAGTACCCATTGGATAGGAAGCTGGGTGGGCCCCAGAACTGGTCTGGATGCAGAGGCTAGGGAAAAAATCCTCTGTCGGGGGATTGAACCCCAGTTTCCAGTCCATAGCCAGTCACTATACTGACTGAGCTATGCTGGTTCTGAACATTGAATACATATACCTAAAATTTACAGGCAGTTTACTGAGAAGCCTGATTAAAAAGATATTACAGCTGATCTTTTAACCAGTATCAAATTGATAAACTGTATGGAACAAGTTTTTGACTTGACGAATGTGATTTCTTTTTCAGTATGATGGTGTCATTTTGGCTGGCAAGAAGAGTTAACATGGGTATTGGATGTTAATAATTTGTCTCATTCATTATTAATAATAAAATAATGAAAGTTAAATGGTTTTATTTATTTTAATTGAAAAGCTGTAAAATTAATATGTGAGATGTCATAAATCCTTGGGGCCTGTGAGGTTACTAACAGTATTCTTGTGTGCATTTACATAGACAGAACAGTGATGTCTAACAGGAGCACAGTGATTTGTTTCCATGTATGCACTCAAAGGAACAAATTCAATCTTTTGTTGTGCTTAAAAATATCCAGTTATTATGAAGAGAATCAGCTGCATCAGAGGGATTGCTTATTATTTATGGGTTTATAACCCATTTTCTTCTGTGGCCCCAAAGAAATGTGATAATTTGAAACAGGGCTTCATATACATCTCTGAAATTTTGTTCTATGTTTTGTAGTTGTAACATTACATATTTTGAATGTGAAAGGATTGGGGAGGAAATGGTCACCATATTATTTCAGTGTTTGCTTGGAGTGATGAAAACTGTCAGGATAGGGTGTGCGGACTGAGCACCTGAATACAAGTCATAAGCATCACTGGAACCAGCATGCTTTGTTTGACATAGATGTTTTGTTTTTACTTACATATGTGTCTGCTCCAGCACTTGAAATAAAGAATGTCCCTTCAGTAGAAATTCTCTCATTTAGATGCTAGGTGATTGTTTTATCCCTTGCCAGACTATTGTTTAGTAGGTGACAGCATACTGTGTTTGGTGTGAAGCTGGATAATCTGCTGCTATTTGGAGATTCTAGTTAGGAAAAATTAGTTCGTTTTATGATTCTGTGCTGTTTAAAGCTGTCAAATACCATCTTGATCCAATTTAACTCTCTCATTTTGAAATTTTTGTTAGTTCAGAATGCTTTGACTGCATAAGTTGGAAAATATTTTTTTAAAATTAGTTTTGCTACTTAGATTACTTCCTGTTCTTATATTCCTAAGATTTGTATTCTGAAAATAAGAGTTTCCTAATGTTTTCTGCACTTTGTTTACATCTAAAGGGAACCATGGTTCAGGATAAACTGGCTACTAGGACACCTCATTGCAGGTTTGCAAAAAAAAACCTTAAATTCTAGTATTACAAAGGTTAAGTAAACTACATCAGATGTTTATGTTTGTTACATTGATATTTTCATAACATTAGAAAAGTGAAGTGATTTGAAGCACCCCATCCTTTCTGATTACGTAAAACAGCAAAATCTCATTTAACATTTAAGTACCCAGTTGAAAACTGGTCTGATAGTGCCACATCTTAGTATTTTAAATGGAACATGCAAAATTCTTTGTCACTGACACACACACTACTTCGGAAGGAAATATTTATTGCAGTCTGCTATGCAGTTCATGAGACTTTCTGTCCCTCTTTGCTTTGTATGTGGAACTTGGGATATGTGGATATTATTCAGGCCTTTAGGAACAACTTTCAACATGAATCACTTATATTTACATAACTCATAAAATATTACAAGTTCCATGTACAGCTGATAATTGGTGGAAAATTGTAATTAAAGTGGAAACTGGTAGCTTCACTGGGATAAGTGGGAGAAGGTTCAAGGAACACTACATCCTGTTTCAAGTTTGCACCAAATATATCATGATATTAGACTTTCAACATTGTAAAACAATCACCTTTGAAACTGGAAGAAAAGTAGATAATACACCAATGCAGAGTTTTTTCTTATTTTTCTAATTTAATTCGAAGTTTGAGGTCCTATTCTCTCATAATTTACTGTTTTTCATTGAAGTGGAGGGGTAATATTGTATGCCCAACTGTTATTACTAAAGTGTAAAAGACAGGGTGGGAGAGGAAGGCACTTTCAAGCAAGAAACTGTGTTTGGGTGTTTACTCTACATTAGCGTGCTTTTAATTTTAGTCCCCCCATAGCCTTGTTTCCATGAGTTAGATACTTTGTTTTTATTTGTTCATTTTTCATCTTACCTATTAAGTTTCTTCCTGTTGTGTGAAATTAATAAGCTACTGTATTAAGAAACAAACATGAATTTTGTTCATGTACAAATGTCCTCAATTGAAAGTCTAGCATCATAGCTGTAAACTGCTATTCATATAAACATCTGTGCTGTAGTAATGTCATACAGATACAAGGCTTTATAGTATGCCATTCATCCAAATCTTGACATCATATAAATCAGTCTTTTCCTCTTTACAAGAAAAAAATATTGATAAATATAGAGGCCACTGTCAGTCTCAACATTTTAAGATACCTGTTCCCGTACGTGACGTCTGTAAGAAGACCTTACATAATTCCCTGTGTATTTTGTATTTTCACCTACAGAACTTTAGATTGTTTTTCTGTATGGTGATTTCACATAGCGGATGGAGCAGGAATAAAACTTTTCTTGCCATGAGCAAACAAAGAGCCTTTCAATTCCAGTCACATTATACAGGAGCCTGTTGCTCCTTTTTGCATTGATATGAAATGACATACTTTTGTAGTGACTTAAATGTCTCTTAAACCATTTTGTATAACTGTTTAGTATTCAGGAAATGTTTTCCTACTACACAAATAAAAGGTATTGCAGAAAGTCCTAATTGCTAAACTAGCTGTTGGTTTCTGCTCTTTCACCTTGAGCCACAACTGCCCACATACTTTCTCCTCCCAGTACCAATAAGATTGCCCATGTCATCATATTCTTATTTCATAGTTCTATGTAGAACAATAACAGGAAAGTTTCACACACACTTTTTGGTGCTGAAAGAAACAAAAATTACATACTTCATTCGATTAAAGAGAATCTGAACCACACTGATGCTATGTGATTAGAAATAGAGTTCACACCAGACCGAAACTTATAGCTACAGTCGTACAAGATTGTGAGGAAAAGGTCAGTATATGTTTTCAGTGCTTTGTTCCCAGTGGGAGATGGTTGACTGAAAGTAGCATATAAACGATTAAAACTGGAGTGCATAAAACACCATATCATTCATGAAGGCAAATATTGTTTCAGGATTTAAGGCCTGCTTAGAATACTTGCACTATTTGAAAAGAATACACAATTTCTGAGCTGGGGATGATTCAGTTATCTAAGAACTGTCTTCTTTTGGGGGGAAATGCACATTACACATTAAATTTTCTGTGAAATACCAAAATAAATAGAACATAAGGCTTCTGTAACTATAAGGACAAAAGAAAAGTCAAATCAAATGCAGACACAAGAAGGCTGTTAATAATTTGGATAAAAATTTTAAATCTTGAATTTGACCTCTTCAAAGATTTTACCAGTATTTACTTGGTACAACTTATCAGTAAAAAAATTTGCTTAGAATTATAATATATGAACAGAAATAGCTTAGCTATAATCATACAACCAAATGCATTGCATGTGATGGATCCTTAAATGTCCAGGCACTACTGGTAGGACTACTAACATTGCATTGTTCATAGTTACAGTGACTTAATATATACGTACGTCGAGATTGTGTCAAACATTTGGTAATTTGTTCAGAGCTGTATTTAACATATAGAGAAATTGAATCTATTTTGTACCTTCAGGTGATTGGATAACACCACCAATAGTTTTTTAGCCACCATCACCATAGATAATAACAGTAATATTAATCAGTTTAAAGCAGACATTAAATTTTGTGTCCTCTCTGCAAAGGTGAATTTTATAGACTTTCCTAGGGTCTGCACAGGGCATTTAAGGTCATTATATACTAACCACCATATTAATAATTTTGTGTATATTGATAGTTGTGAGACTTCTGCCCATTCCTGTGACACTAGCTGCACAATGTTACTGCATAGTAGTGTAAACATTTATGTGTGAGAACAAGTACCACATATGTATACAGAAATCTTGTAATAAGTTTGCATTAGTTTGAATTAATTCTATATAAATATTTAAATAAATGATTTCAAATTGTCAGTTAAATGGGTTGTTCTTTCTCTATCCCACTGTGTCTGCACATCCAAGGTCTAACATATGCAATGCATCACAGCTTAAATGTAACAGGCAAGATTATAGAGGAACTATTTCTTGGTGTGAGATCTGTACACCTTGTCAATGTTGAGTCTCTCATTCTCATTGTAACCCAAGATACTTTCTATTGCGTTCAAGTGACCTTGGTGATTCTCCTTGTCAGTGAGGAAGTAGTAGATTGCAGACTTTAGGAACTGCAATGTAATCTCAGGGTCCATTTCAGCCTTACCAGTGCGAGCCTCCACAATTCTGCGGTACATAGCCTGTGAAATGTTACATATCGCACAGTCAGTGAGATGTGTTGAAACTTGCTTCTTCTGTGAAACTACATAATTTTTAAACTTTTTACATAGTAGTTAGAGTACTAATTTTTTTATTTTGGACTTTATCCATTGCCTGTTGAAAGTTTATAAAAAATCTCAGTATTTCAAAAGATGGATCTTCATCAACATATATAGAGGGTCACAGAGTCAGTCCTTTGAAACCTGAATTTTTAAGACTCTGAAAAATTTCAGCAGACATTGGCAAAAATCCAGAATAAAGATATTTGTAACATCAAAGACCTTAAGAAAACAATTATATTCCTCGTTTTCCATTACTCTTCACAATAGGTGCAGTACATTAATTGTGTTTGGTAATGAAAAAGTTCAGTGCCAGGCATTTTCCAAGTGGATGTTGCATTTGAACACAGAATCTATACACATACACATTGTTATGTTATTTGTATTTTCATTGTTTATGAATACATTGCATAGATGGGAGGATAATCTCAGGTGGGATATATGGGAGTTGAAGGAGACTGTGTTTTGTTGTCCCAGGACAGGAGGGCTTTGGTTAGTTCGGTTATGAATCTTAAGGTTCCGTAAGCCATCTACTTAGTTAGTTATGAATATGTTGCAAATTATTTGAAAATACATAATATGCTAAGGCAAACAATTTTTTAACCCTTTAATGTACCAATATATTCTGTGTCTTGGTAGTGCATGGAATATGGATATAACCCTACAGTTTTCACTTTCCATATCTTGTACAGCATCATATACAGAAGCAGATCTTTTTTTCTTGAGTACTAAGCTTTTCTAGGGGACTGATTATACAGAGGGTTTAGATTTTTTCTGTCTCTTGACCTTATAATTAAAAGAGGTGTAAGTGACAGGGTGTTGCTGTGAAAGAGAAGAAACTTGGCTTGGCATTGCTTTTGGGCCTTTTAAATGTCATTAATTAAAATGGTTCACCTTCAACACACATGGAAATATCTTTATGGTTACAAGCCAGATTGCTACCAAATGCATCAACATAACCAACTTCCAGACTCCACCAGGCTCTACCATAGCTTTGTTTGCATTTCTTACTACTACAGTCATCACTGACAGACTTCATTTCAGTTTTTCCACATTGCATAATTGTTTACTCGTACAGTCAAGCGTGATGGACACTGGCTATTATATTCATAGTAAATGCGAAGCATTACTGAGTGAAAGCTGTGCAGGTCACTATTGTACTTGTGAACTAAGTTCTCTGAAAATCTTAATGATGCACCAATTAAGTTAGTCAACTAGATGTATTGATAAGGGCTTAACCAATGAAAAATTAAAGTCAAATAAATATACAGTGCCTGAAGATGCTGTAGCATCCTGGAGAACTTTACACAAAAAGCATAAAGTTTGTTAGACTGTACTTCTTGATATGGCACTTGGCTACTTTCAGTTACATTGTGCATATATATGGATGCAGATAAGAGATCAGCCAATAACATTTATTAAAAGAAATTGTTCAATATGATGCTATATAGCATAAAATGGCACGATGATTAATGAATTTGGAAGAATATTGAAGGGAGTTGTCATGGCCTGATTAAGGGTACTCTGCAGGTATTCACCTGAAGGGACAGGAAAAGCATAAAAAGTCTCGGGATAGCTAATCTCTGGGCCAAGATTTAATGTGGTTCCTGCCACATATGAAGCAGGAGTGATAATCAGTCTGCTGTGATGTACTGTAATATGATCTCATAGATTCACAATTGTTTATCCCATAAGTATTTACGGTTTTCTTACAATTCTTCTGATAACAGTTTTAATTAATTATGAATGCCACACATAGTTCAGTTTTTGGTTAAGTTTAGATATCAATTTTAACATTAATAACATTCAGAAATCTAGTACGTACATTGTATTCTGCAATTGAGATGGATAACATGCAACTCAGATGCATGGCACAGTTCATCAAAAGCTCTGAAGTAATCTTTGATAAAGATTGTGGAAGACTTCAAATAGCAAAGCTATATAACCATGTAAAACACCAGAGCATAGTGCTTCATATTGGGTGGTTGTGGGTTTGAATTTCATCCTATTGACCACCTGTCCTAACTGAGGTTTTCTCATGGTTTTCCTCAGCCCCATCCATGTAAATTTTGGGATAGTACCTTTATGTAGGCTGTGGCAGCATCATTCCCTTCACTTTTAATTCATAGTCATTTTTCCATTTTGTACTATATAACCATGTATGTGCTCATAACCTAATGAGAAAGTTCTCCAGTGAATGCATCACTATGTGCTGGAGCAGAAATAAAATGTGAATGATGCCCAATACATGCTCAGCATGCCATGCAAACAAATTAAATGAGCCACATAGAGAACCAAAAAGTAACAGAATGGGCAAACCACAAAGGGGGGGCCGGCGACGTACCTTACGAGTACCAAGTATCCATAGAGATAAGGCCTCCTTTGCACTGAGCAAAGCTGGCTTTGTTTTGTCTGTTTGTTGGTGGTCCATATCCTGCAAGGCATGCGGCCACCCAGGAGAAAAACCAGCATGTCATTACAACAGTAAAGTTACGAAGCAGATTTTCATTTTTGAAAAACTGCAGTATGGTAAAGAATTTTAAAGAATGTTCATTAATTTCTGATTATAACATGCAGGCCAAAATAATTAATTCATTTTTCAAAAATATGTATATGTAAATGTTAAAATACTGGGAAGAGCATCTGACAATGCTTAGAAAATTGTGTGACAGAAATGTGAACAATTATATTGCAGATTTTGTTCTTGTTAGGTTACATGTTTGGTTTGTAAAACTGACTTATAATATTAATAACAGAGGGAAATGCATGTTAGCATATGTACTTTCTTTACAAGGGATTCTCCTGAAATATGAATTAATGACAGACATTTGTAGTTGGCAATTTGTTAAATGTTTGTATGGAAAACTCTGACACTGTTTCCCACCCAGTCAAAAAAATTATCAAAATGCTGAAGATGGGTGTCTTCTGAATTGTTGCACTGTGTAGTCTGGTAGAAGTTTACCAACATTTTAGTGATCACTCATCGCCCTGATGTTGTAGGCAGCAAGGACATCTGAAACATTGGTAAACTTCTACCAGACTACACTGCGCAACAACCCAGGAGACAGCCATCTTCAGACTCACCACAATGAAAAGCTCAGGTCCTACAAAGCAAAATACTGTTATTCAACAATGTAGTCATCCTAAACATGGTCAGTTCTGTCCTTCGTAGTTCATTGTCTCATAATAATGAGAGTTCTATCCAGTCATCATATCAGAAACATTTTATCTTTGTCTTTATTTTCAAAATTGTACACCAGTTAAGACTCATCTTAAAACTGGTGTAGATCTCCATACACTGAGGAAGTGAATACAGCATCAGGCATCACAAAATCAGGCATTCATGAAGAAAACAGAGAAAAGCATTGAACCTTCATGCAACTGATAATAAATAAATCAACTTAAGAAAATACCAGAAAATGACTTGTGGAATTGTATTACAGTGTGCATATTAAGTTATGTACTCGCAACTTTGTAAATGAAAATAAAGATAATAAAAGTATAGTGAGAAAAGTAAAAGTTTTGCTTCACAACAACTGGTGTTAACTGATAATATAAATGGGGCAGAAGCCAAAATTTAAGCCAAGGATTCATGTATTGTAACTGTATTACATGATGTACAGTTTCCTTAGAAATGAGACCATAAGTAATATATAGAACTGTGTCATCTGCTTTCAACATATTCTCAAATATTATTGACTTCTGTTGTTTTCCAGTACAAACATTGCACAAATTTCCAAACTGAAGCCCATCCTGCCACCAAATTAAAACACAACATTTATGGGTTACTGCCGCTGACCACACTGATCATGAAGTATTAAATTGGTGATGATTAAATCCAAGACCGTAGCCAGAATTTCATTTGGGTGAGAATGTAACAGGCTATGATGCAAGAACCATGGACAGTTTTCACTCTTTTTCTAATCTACTATTTTAAAATCTTATGGAATTATTCCTATTTCCAGTTCTAAAAACTATTATTTATCATAAGTTAATATGATTCTTCGTAATATTTACAGGTTATGTCAAAATTTTAATCACTGTTCTCATGGCAAGTAGGTCTCTTCACAGATTGACATGCTATGAAATGTATAACTGCTTGTTAAATAATGTACTAGAATTAACCACTGGTATTAGTTTTCTAAATATCAAGACATATTGCTCTATGGATGTAGTCAGTGGCACTGGCTAAGGTCTTGCATCAAACCAATCAGCAGAAAGCATAAAATTACATTGAACATACATAACAATCAGCTGGGTAAATAGTATAACAAAACAGGTTCTTGAACAAGCAAAATGGTTACACTCATTGGGTGTTTCAGATAATGGAAATGTTAATATCTTAGTGAATTTTATATTTTGTTAAGTGTTTCAGGTTCCAATATATTCGATCCGTAAAATATCTAAAAGGTGAATGCGTCAGTATATTATCGGTGGCATAAAGAATCAACAAATACAAATTGTATTAATTTATTTTCAGTGTGCCTGTTGATGGCAAAGTCTAGCATATGGACATATCTTGAATGTATGAATCATATAACATATCCATCTTACCAGAAATTGCATATGAACTAGTCAGGTTTATATTCAGCTTGAATTTGGGCATAGAAAAAATTAGAATGGATCTAGTATATAGATTTCAAACTCATACCTGTAGAAACCCCATCTATATATGATGGCTCCACTAACTCAGCGTTATCCACTTACCTTGATATTTTCCAATTCATTCTCAGTAACTTGCAGTTGCTGAAGTAATTCTGGTACTGACACTCGAGTAGGGGCTCGGTGGGCAAACTCTAAAACCTGTCAATCATATAGTAATAACATTTATCCTCTTCATATTGTCAGTACAGCAAAATACTTAAAGGTGATAAAATTATCGCATATAGGAACTGGACCTTTTTTTGCATTATATATATTAATTAATATTGGATGAGACAGGACAAGATTTTTTAGCCAGTAAATCCTGAGAAACTACACTTTTTTTCAGTTTCAATATTTCAGATATTTTATCCTATACACAGAGACTAAACACTGCAGTTGAATGAGAAGCGCTCCTGCTTTGTATTCTGGAAGTCTTGGATTTTAGCCGTGGCCTGTAGATCGACTATTCTGACAGGTTTTTCATAATTTTTCCTCCAGCCAAATGCAGGAATATAACCTCAAATTAACATTTTCCTTTCACATCACTTCCAATTTATAATTTAGCACCATCATACTATTTGACATTGCATAACATATGCAGTTTACAAAATTTTGGTTGGAAACATTCTTTGGAAGAAGACATTCAAAAAAGCAAGAGGAGATGGAACATAAAGAGGAAAGTTGCGTAGTTGTGAGGTGGATGGAACTAGATGGGACTCAAGTCCATTAGTGACATTTTGGTTTCTACTGTCAGATTGATAGTTTTATTATCTCTTCCTTTGATACATTACTTTATTTAAAACAGGCTGCTTCCTTTTCCTTCATATACATGGGCTTGTGATCTCACCTGATCAGCATGCTCAAACTTGGCTGCTTCTTGTCCCTTCATGTACATCTTCAGGTACATTGACTTGTGTCTATCTTCCTGTTCCTCTATACTCCTCCTCAGAGATTCATTGTTCTTGTCTAGCTCCCGGATCCTGTCCTGTCCCCTGTCGTAATCTGTTCGCAGCTCACAGTACCTGCATAAACACAAGAATACTGTCACTCATGTGATGTTTCTAGTTTTCATTTACTAAGAAAAAATTTGCACTTTTCCCCTGCTGTTCACATATTTAAATCAAGAACAGAACATATAGCACAAATAAGTGAAACCAGAATAGCATAACAAATTTAAGGAGGAAAATGTAAGAACAAGGGAACCAATGAGTAGCTGAGTATTGTTTGTGCTCTGGAAGTACCCTACACCAATTCTAGAAATCAGTCTTTTCATAAATAACATTCAGTGCTTCCTATAACCTGTGCCAAATTCCTTATTGTGACAACTTTGTCATGTTGACTAACCTGTTGTTGACATCGCTGAGTCTCTGCAACAGGTTTTCGACCTTGTCATTGTGTCGCTCCTTCATCACCTGGCATTCATTCACATGGTTTCTTTGCATCTCCTCTAGCCTCTTCTCATACATGGTAACAATGCGAGTCCTCTCTCCTTCTCTGTCTTCAGCAGTGGGCCCATCTTTATGGGCTACTGTGGACTGGGCGAGGCATGTTGAGTGCAGAAGTTGGCCTAGATGTGTTAGAGAGTCCTTAGAGTGGACCTGCAATGTTTCAAGTTTGTCATGAATGTTTGAACTGGAGATTGATAAATATAATGGTCAAGAGTTCTAAAAGATCTGCATAGTTCATTTTTAGACAAGCTTGCATCTAGGGACATGTCATAAGGCAATATTACTGTACATAAAAAACTCAACAAATCTTGTCTAAAACTTAAGTAGATCAAACTGTTTTGTCAAATAATAAACAGCACTATTTAAGATTATTATTGGACTATTAAAGTTAACGTCACTGCAAATTGATGACTATTTTTATTTTTGAGTTTGCATACCCATTTTGAATATTATGATTGTTTTCAAAGAGGATTCTAAAAGTTTAATGAGAGTGAATGTGTTTAAAGTTTTCTTTCTAAATTTCTAGCAAGGAAAATTATTCTTTTCCGGTTTTTTAAGGTACAAACTACAAAGCCATTTAGAAAATGATATATACTTTTGCAAGACAGAAGGACATTTATAGTTAGGAATATGAATAAATGCATGTTATGAAATGAAGTATGCGCATAGTACAAAGCAGAATTAGTTATGTACTGAAAGACAAACCAAAGAACAAGTTCACTTACTGAGAATGATGTCATATCTTCAAAGTGGCCAGAGTCAGCTAGAGATGGTGGTAGATCAGAAGTTGCGTTAATGTTCTCTAATAATGTTAATGATGAGGTCTCAAGAGCTTCATGGTCACTTGCCACATCTTTAGAGTCCTGTGTGGCATCACCACTCAACTGCTCTTGCAGTGACGCCTCCTTCCCGTCTGTCTCATCGTGGCTCTGAACGGTAACAGTGTTGTCTGTGGAATCTGTTCTTATCTGGGATACAACCAGTGGTGCTTTATATAACCTTAGTTCCGCAACCTCTTTGGTTAACCGCATAATGTCTTGATCCTTCAACTCCATGTCTCTATGTGCTTGGGTTAGCAGAGCCTATTGGTAAAATGTGAATTTAAGCTAGACATCAAACGCTGCACATTCATAGAAAACAGCAAATAATATAAATTAATATTTCAGTTACTTTAAAAATTCCCTAAATGAAATCACTGTATTATCTTTGCTGATTTAAATTCCTCATAAAAGTATGGCTTTAAGGATGCTGCAGGACTTGTCCAAAGTGGTACAGAAAAGGATGATTCTTTTTAAGAAACTTGGACAAATCTTATCAATTTATTAATCAGTATCTGATTACATGGAGTGGCTCTGATATTGTATGGAGAAACATACGCTTTCTTTCTAAAAAATTATGTAGAAATTAAATCATAAGATTCTTGCTTCTCTATAATAAATTCAGTTAACTGCCTCATACAGTTTGGATCAAAAAAATATCATCATTCCATCACACCCATTTCAGTGTTTTATTAATAAATTATGTTAAATTTTTAATCTGAGCCCCGAAGTAATTCTTATTTGTTACCTTAAGCTTGTGTATCTGTCTGTTGGCCCTCTGTGTAGGGGTGAGGTACTCTTCTGTACCATCCATGTGTGGTGAGCAGTGGACCACATACTTCATACGCCTGCCAGAAAATGTTGTACCATTGCGAGCGAAGTACGCATGGTCACAGGACATTGCACTGCAGACACTTCCAAAACTCTTAAGCGAATTCATGTCATCATCCATTTCTAATGCTTCCTCTGGTGATGGAGTTGGAGTGTGAGGGTATGAGTTGAGGGCGGAGCTTGGGGTTTCCAGTAGACGACTGCTGCTTACAGACTGTCAGGCAACACAAAACCAAGACAGACCTTAATATGAGGAACACCATAAGTATAAATTTACACTGACTGGAAAAAAAGTTTCTCTAACTACGTTTATGCTCACTCCACAGGCTTCTTGAATGAAGTTATATACTACAAATATATTGTATTTATGTGTAGTTTATTTGAAGATGCTGTCGTTAGCTCAGATCGTGTAGTGTCAGATTATGGGATGATTATTTATGAACAATGAATTTGAAGGGATGTGGATAGGAATACGTGGTAGTAGCCTTTCAGGTACTACCCTGACATTTGTGTGGAGGGACTGAAGAACCTGTCAGGATAGCCAGTTCAGAGGCCGAGATTCGAACCTGGGACATCAAGAATATGAAGCAGGAGTGTTAGCTGGTTGCAGGCAGTCGGTGTGGTGGGCTGGCAAACCTAGAGGCACTCATGTTGCACTCACTTGGCTGCGATTATGCTCCCGGCTGCTGGACCAGGCTTTGACGCAAGACTTCCCGCCTTCGGTTATGGGCGCCGGGATTGACCGAGGACTGGGCCTCTCACCACGCAAGCGTAGTGACGCCGAGCGCCGGAACACCCTGGGATTAGGGACTGGGATTCGACTCTCATCCTCGTTACTTTTATGTCTGGAAGCGACGTTCTCTCCGATGACGCCGCCGTCCATAATGTCTGTAACATGGATTGGAACAAATATACAAGATGTTGGCACTGTTCGGCATGCACCGTATGGCGTCGAACAGGCAAACTTATCGCAAAACTGATGTTTCTTTGATGTGCTCTTCAGACGACCTAGGCATGAGAGGATAACATTAAAATGAATCTTACGGAAACAGTGAAGGGGCCTAAATTTTATTCGTCTGGCTCAGGACGCGGACCAATGGAAGGTTCTTGTGAACACAGTAATTACCTTTCAGGTTTCATAAAATGAGAGTAATGTTTTACAACCTGAATGCACTTTCAGCTTCTCAAGAAGGACTCTACTCCGTGGTGTAGACAGAGGCAGTTTGTTCCTCCTAAACACTGATGTCTGTCCACACAGCGTTTATACCCAGAAGACCAACATCGACATGTTCACCGCCGTGAGAACCTCAAATCTAATCGAGATATATTTATTTGCATTTACTTTTCAGATGATAAAAATAATATTTTATTATAATACAAACCTCTTCAGGTTTACCGATTAATTAGGCAGGTCTACTTCATTTTTCGACTCACAAAACTGCCAGAATTATTTCAGAAACAGAACACAATGGACATTTAGAGGAACTTCGTTAATGCGAGCTACCTAGCTTTCGGCTGGTACTGTCTTTTAGAAGTAAGAACCGTGCAGCTTAAAACCTTAAATCAAAGCATTCCCAGTTATCTGAATTGTTTGTGCATTGTGACATCACTTTCAAAAGAAACTCTGTAATAACCACACCGCGAAAAAGTTTAGTTCTCTAACTACCATTTCTTATTACGTCAATATCAATTTACAGAGAACTGATAACGACACATCACGTGTCTGATAACAGTAAAATAGAACTAAAAAGTTATGGTTATACTGGTTTTGAACGCATTTCAAGCTTAACTTGTTTCTGGGGTTATTTTAACGAAGCTGCATCAACTTCTGAATTATGTAACCTCGGATGAAAAATTGTAATGTGTCTGCGGTTTATTTCAAGGTTTGTCCCTTCCTTACTCGGTTGCTGTAAGACACTGTATTATTTCCAACGATTATGCAGCATCAAATGAAAAATAATATCAATAAAACCTTCTCGGGCAACCAACCGCGTCAAATGGTTACCGTAGTAAACCGACGTTTCGGGAACCAACTCTGTCCCTATCGTCAGGGTTCTGATGTGACAGAGTTGGTTCCCGAAACGTCAGTTTACTATGGTAACCAGTTGACGCGGTTGGTTGCCCGAGAAGGTTTTATTGATTGCACTCGCCGCGAAAGCCTCAAATTCGAAAAAAATATATGTTGATTTTGAATAATAAGCGATGAAGTAGAAAAAGTAGTTAAGCCCTGTATCGATCTCATTATGATATGCAGCTTTCATTTGAACAATTTTTATGTAGGCCCTGGTGAATATTTAAACTGAAACGAAATTTCTGGCTTTGCGGTGTAATTAGCTTCGCAACAAAATATCTGTATTAAATTAATACTAAGACCAGTGACATATGCAGGATAACAGCAAATATTTAAAAAAATATAAGTTCACCATTGGAGTAAGCTTTTGCTTTCATGTTAAACGCTAAAATATTTTTAAAAATAAATTATGAACATCCGAACAAAAAAAGGTGAAGTGTCTTAAATAACCTCCGTTGTAGCCTACACACATTGATAAAATTTATTGTAATTAACAGTTGATGTTTTAAAACAAATCAATAACTATGCTCTCTCTTACTCCCTCCCCTTCGTCTATCCCTGACCACCCCTATTTCCACTCTCCTCTCGCGCAGGAAGGAAGCCACCCTAAAGTAGAAGTACAGTAGAAGTACAGGCCTGCTCTGTGTTTGCCTCTCGAATTGTGGGTTCCCAATGTCATTCACGTGATGGGGTTAGTGGACAGCGGAATACTGAGTTCATGTCTTGGTCGATCTAATGGGCAAAGCTGGGGTAAGTTTTCCTTTGCTTTATTCCACTACGATTTAATATAGTTTGTGTCTTAACACATTATCAGCACAAATCAACCAACAATAAATTGATACATTAATTCTATCCTCTTTTAAATACAAAAATTAACAAATGGTTCGGCGATGGGTAGACTAAATTCGTAAGACTAGCTTATCCTCAAAACAGACGATTCTCGTTAGAAGATTCGTGAAGAACAAACTAGTACGTTGCTTCCTTACAACTGAGGTTTCTCAAATGCATAGCTTGTATATAACATCTTGCATCAAATGGGAGCTGTCTGTAAATCAGGTTGGGCCAACCCAAATGATCTTTCGGGCCACTTTGGAAATGCATCATAACTCCGCGGGCCACATATAAAATTATATATCCCCATATTAGATTTAGATACACTATAGACATTTTTTTGGAGTGAAAAATTGAAACATAATGAGTTATTATTATTGTGTTTACTATTATTCTTACATGTAAACATAGATAATATAATAATAATGATACTAAGCGTACATTGTAAAGAAATATATAGCACTAAAAATTAAATATAAATATATTTTGTAAAAGTGTGATGAATCTCGCGGGCCGGAAAAATGTTCAAGGCGGGCCACATGCGGCCCGCGGGCCGCGGGTTGGCCACCCCTGCTGTAAATGATAATTAAGACATGAAATGAAGGCGACGTGGCTTTATTTAAAGTATCGGTAGTTTCCCAGCATTTGCCTGTAGAGACTGAATAAAATCAGAAGAGCCTCATTTGATAATGTAATCGGATCTTCACGACTACGAAACGAGTGATAAACATACAACCTCAAGGTTCACTTTTAATTACCTCGACAAGGAAGACTGAGTAATAATAACTGTTGTCAGTGCAGGGCTTGTGATATATAAATAAGATAAATGAAGTAGGAAAATAATTTTTAATGGTTTTCGTTTCTTGAAAGTAAAACGTTGGTTCTGTTTCAACGAACTCTCCCTAAAACTAATCTTGAGACACTGAGGAAATCGTCGAACATACTCGGCCACTGAGATTCAAAGCGGGTGAATACGTACCCGATATGTTCTGTTGCGAAACATTCCTAAAATAATTAAAAAAAAATTAACAAAATGATTCAGAAGGGAAACGAGGCTGTGCATCGAAGGCAAACAGCAGGGTCTCGGTCTGTGACCTCTTCGATTGGGGGGGGAGGACTTGCAGATAGTTCTGTTGGAAGTACGTGCCATCGTCGTAGATACTCACAGACCGACCTCGTTCTACTGTTTTGAATTCTCCAAGTTTATTTTAAAAATAGAAGTCGTGTTGTAATTAAAGTGAACACGTCAAATAATGTGCGTTGTTTAATCATACAAACGCACTAACCATAATTTGATTTCACGCATTACCATGCGTCCAACAAACCAATTGGCATTTTCTGTTATTTAACTTCTGTAAAACTTCCGATAAAATTTAACAAGGAATGTTCTTTCCTCTCTTTAACCTCTCTGTATCTATTTCACAGAACATCAGTAGTGCTAGGCAGGTTATCTCAGCAATTAAATTTCTTATTGTTTAACGACGCTGTAGCTCAGATTATATAGTGACAAATAAAATAATGATAAATGGATAATGAAGGGGAAAGAATGTCGAAGGAAGCTGTCGTTGCCTATAATTTTTGTTACCCATATCAAAAGTACTGCTTAACGCTGCCCAATGGTAGCAGCACTTATAAAATATGATAAGTCATCTATCGTCATTCAAACTTGATTTTATATAACACAGATTTATTCTGTTTTCTCATTTGAATGCATGTGTCGTAATTATTTATTATTTAGTGTTCTGTCTGACGACAGGTCGATTTGAACAGGATCCTTCCATCCTTTTCTCGGACTGGGACCTGTTCATATACGTTCTTAGCAGATGATCCAGAAGTGGTTTGCCATTGCCTTCTTCTGTGTGTGAATGGAGTAATTGTTGGGATGCCACGGAGGAAAACTCCGTGTTGCCTAGACCACGGCCTTGCCCAACACAAGTTATAAATTCGGGCACCGCCGGGAATCTTACGATTCAGTATGACATTATCAATATGTGATTGAGATAAAATTCAGTTTCTGAAGACAGATGCAGCGCAAAAGACAACGCGTTAATTGTATAAAAATGACAGGAAAAATCAACTAAACATTACCATAAGCCGTAATGAAATCGTTTCAAGTGGCTAACTGAGGCTAAAGCTTTCAAGGTTTCTTGTGGCACTGAGGCGTGGAAACACACAATACCTTATTTTGCATTACAACCCAGTGACTTGGAATAGCGATAAGCCGTTCAATTAACATTGTGGAGGCACCCACTTCGAAACCCGGTTAGAGAACGGTTACTTTTCTTTGTCATTCTCCCCAGCCCCCAGCCCCCCCAAAGAAACCTTCAAAATGACCCAAACTACTACTCCATCTCTCTTAAGATGAAGTTCTTTGTCATCCCAGCATATTTTATTCGACGCCACAAAAGCCCACTGTTTCATCCTACGTAGTAAAATTGTAGTATAAAAACATTTAAACGTCGAACGGAGTTTTAAATTACACAGAGAGATATGATTTTAACACACGTGGAATTTGTTTTAAAAAATAATTTTGTTTTACTGCCATAAGAATTCGTCATTTCTTGAAGGCCTGTCATAAATAGCAACAAAATGATAAACTCATAACAGACGTGGGTTGGATTGATTAAATTATTTAATCACTACTGAATGACAATGAATAGATGGCGTCGGATCAAATTATAATATCACGAATTGCGTGAAGGTAAAGATTTGGACAGATATTTCAAGATAATATTCCAATAAAGTCGATAAAGCAATCAACTTATTTATTTTATATTAAAAATTCGCCGAGACCTGCAATAAATACTACTAAACTGAAAATTAAAAGGACTGGGGAAACTGAGGAAAACCACGAACTCTACAGTCAGAATGGTCGATAACCTAGCCGAAATTCGAGCCGGGTATCTCTCGAAAACAATTGTAAATTAAACTTCGTTTCTATTTACCTATTCTTTTCAATGCTTCGCTGTTCACGAAAATGCCTTCTCGAGAAACTTCCAAGGTTGCGTACGTGATCGCCTTTATGTTGTTCTGTCCAATTTAAAACGATTTCGGATAAGTTTCCGTGAGATAACAGCAGCTATGGATTTACGATGATGTTCATTCATTACAGATTTTTAAAACATATATAAACGTGACTTGTAAAATGTTTCCGGTTCTTTGGGAAAACGCCGATATGGATGAACAGAATTTTATTAAACTTGGCATTCGTAATCCGTACTGAGATCTCTCGAATGCTTGTCAAGAAGGGTAGCTTGCTGTAACCCCCTCAACAGATGAATACGTACGTGTCACGGTCATCCTGTAGCCATAGCAACGGGT